AGTGATGAGAGGAGTCCTGGGAGGAGCCAGCACCAATGCAAGGCAGAAGCATGAGAAGCCTTTGAAGCATGAGATCCCATTGGAGGTCAAGCATAAGGTATGTGTGGAAATGCATGCAGCAAGACATGAACATCCAACTGAAGCAGAGCTCATCAGCGTTTTTGCAAACAAGTATTCCATGAGAGTTGATCAGCTCAGAGCTGTGTGGAACTCCAGAAGCAAATGGGCTCATGAGAGCTCCAAGCATGACAGCAGCAAAAGCACATTCAGCATGAGAACCAGGAATGCCATGAGCATTGGCAAAGGAGCCAAGAAGAAGAATCCAGAGAGATTGAGGGCATCAGGAGGAGGAGCCAAGAGAGAGTTTCCACATTTGGTGGACAAGGTTGCCACATGGGTTGACATGGAGAGATGTCATGGACATGCTGTTCTCAAGCGCCATATCGCTTGGAAATGGGAGATGCTCCTTGAAGAGGAACTGCAAAAGCTGCAGCATGAGATGGATCAGCTGGATGATAAGGACTCCTATACATGCAGATCTTTGCAGAGGTCCCACTCCAAAGCACAGAAGCAGCTGGAGACCATGAGAAAGGGTGATAAGGCAAGGGCAAAGAGAGCTGATGCGATCGTTGGCTGGATTGGTGCAAAATATTGGATGCCCAATTTGGTGACCCAGATTACAGAGATTGAGCAGCAAACTCGTGCTGAACTCACATGGTGGCATCATGACTTTATCATGCACAAGCTTGCCAAAAGAGATGCATCAGAATTGCAAGACATGTTTGCCAAACCTGAAGAAGCAGTCCAGCATATGAACTCATGTGTTCTGGCATTCAGCGATCAAGTGCCTCTTTGGGCAAAGAGGCAGACCATGAGACAAGTCTTTGCAAAGCATGAGACAAGGCAAGGTGCAAAGCCAACACATGAGGTCAGGAAGCAATTGGCAGATGAGCTGCCCAAAGAAGCCATGCAAAAGGGACTGCAGCCAGCCATAGCTGATGACAATGAGCATGAGGAAGGCATTGTGCCTGCGAGGCTGCCACTGAGAGCTCATGGAAGATGAGCATGCCATTGCCTGATGGCAGCACTGGCAAGATGCATCCTACAACCATGAGGCAAACACTGATAAGTTCAGAGTGACATTTGAAGCCCATCAGTATGTGACTGGATGGTTTGACCCAAATGCAGAGCCTCAAGGACATGTTGCCAGAGGAATTTTGGTAGTGGCAGGGCAACATGCAAGATTGTCCAACATTGGGCCTGATGACAGATGGCTGCATGATGAGACAATTGAATATGCTGGCAGAATCAGAAAGCACATTGCTGGTGAGAAGTGTGGGAGAGCATTGGAAGGATGGAGAAAGATTCGAGCATCCCATCCACATCTTTTTCGGCATTTCACAGTTATGTCACAACCATCGTGCAACATGGACAGCATCTGCATGGCATGGAACATTCAAGACAGTGCACATGAGATGCCAGTGTCACTCTACCAACGTGATGCATATGGGGCAGCATTCAGTGATAGCACCACAAAGATGAGATATTTATCTCATCAAGCACAATCAACAATACAGGCAAAGATGACCAGTGCCATGCAGCTGACAGATACAGATTTCAGCCATCAGTTCAAGGCAGCTGTGAAATCACACATTGATGAGAAGGTGGAGGCCATGCAGAGAGATTCCACAGAATTGCCTAAGATCAGCAACCTGGACATAGCTTTTGCTGTAGATGCTGCTATGCAGCAAATGGTGGAGGCCAATGAGGAGAAAGCATGGGTTTTGGCTGGCCTCAGACGCAATGGATTCCTTGCAGTCAGACCTGATGCCACAGGTAAGATGAGATGGTGTGGTGAAGAAGATTGGGCCAAAGACAAGCCATTGGGATCCAAGAGGATCAGCAAAACATGGCTGGACAATAGATTGGCGCATGTTCTTGATGAAGGCTGCAGAATCAATGAGCCCAATTGGGAGAGGATAGATGGAGCCAAAGAGCTGAGTGATCTCATAGAATGGGATTATGCACAGCCCGCACCATTAGAAGCTGACATGCCAGCTCTCGAGGATGAGGACATGCCAGAATGGGTGCAGGCTGGTGAGTTTCAGCTGCCATTGGATTTGAGAAGAAAAGCCATGCTGAAAGACATGCAGATGAGTGATGAGGCCAGAAAACAAAGAGACAAGATGAAAGCAAAGAAGGCAAAGAGAAAAGAGGAGAGAAAGCAAGCAAAGAAATTGGAAGCTGATGAGAAGGAGGAGATCAAGAAGGCTTTGATGACTGATAGCAGACATGAGCAAATGATTGCCCAAGTGCCATCAGCATCCACAAAAAAGAAGAAGAACACAGTGAAGAAGAAAAAACTTGCAAAGAAGATGAGGAAAAATCAGCTCAAAGACAAAATCAGAAAGATGGCTGCCACCAAAGCCAAAGAGAAGATTGAGGATAAGCAGCAGCAGCCCAAGGCATTAGCTTCACATCCAGCCAAAGCAGAGCCATTGCCTGATGAGCCCCCATTGCCACCACCATCATCCCCCCCAGCGCCATTGGAAGAGCATGAGTTGGACATTCCTTCTTCCAAGCTGAGAGTTGCTGGCTCTTCATTGTTTGGTAGGCAAGGCACTGCCATGGGGGCATCAGAGAAAGCATTGCATGTGCTCCTGATGGGCTTCATAAAAAGAATAGGACTGCATGGGTGGATAGGAGCTACCTGGAGCCAGTGGAAGGGGATAAGAAGCAATGGAAATGGCCCCAGCTGACATTGCAGAGATGGCACAAGCAAGAGATCCTGCTAGATGCAGGGATCATATTTGAAGACCCTGCATTGCTGGATTCATGGGGTGAGCTGGAAGCTATCAAGCTTTTGTGCTAACATTAGTTAGCATTTTTGGACCCATTTGTTTACCACCCCTTATTAGTCCGGTCTGTGCTGAGCATGTTTTTTTTTCATTGGCTGATCTGAGGAAAGACCATTCAGATGTGGACATTGAGACTGTGGCCATTGCTTATGGTCTCATTAGATGGATGGCTACAAAGAAAACCATGGGAGGCATCCAGGATGTGGAGTTCATCCATCCAACTGCGCTGCATGGCATTCTGTCTGAGGATGCTCAATACATGAACCAAGAGGGCATCAGTTCATATGTGCTGAAGAAGATGAAGGGCAAGGCGCAGCAGGGTTGCATTTGTTGATCATTGTTTGGTTGACTTTTCTTTTTTTTACCACCCTGAGGCCAAATGCTTTCTCATGCCATTTGCTGCTGGTTACCATATTGTGCTCCTGGTAGTGGATTTGAGGCCAGGCATATCCAAGCAGCAGCAGATCAGATATTATGAGACACTGACAACTATGAGTGAGCCATGCTTGCACAAGGCACATGCAATTTTGGCATGGCTTTTGAACAACGAAATCGTGGATGAGGACTTCTTGATCAGGCCTCCATTGGACAGAGCCAATGCATGCATCAGGCAGCCTGTTGGCTCCAATCTGTGTGGATGGTATATCATGGCATACTTGGAAATGGAGGTTGCCATGTTGTCTGGACATGGCCCTGCTGCCATTGGGTGGCCTGAAGAGGCCATGCAAGCTTGGCATGCCAGGATGCAGAAATTCATGCCCCAGTTGCAGAAGGAGATAGACATGAGGAAGAAAGAGGTTGCCAATGGCATTGTTCTATTGGAGAAGTATGGCCAGAAGGTCATGCAGGAAAGAAAGAAGACCTATGATCTGGCATGCAACAAAATGAAGAAGGGTGAGGCATTGACTTCATTGCAGATTGAGGCCATGGCCATTGTGAATGAGAATTCCAAGCTGCAGATTTCAGATTTGCCTGCAGAGTATCAGAAGGCCATTGAGAAACTCAAAGACTATGAGGTGGGAGTGTGCAGTAGATGCAGGTTCCAATCAGGCTGCTTATCATGCAGCATTGAGAAGTGCACAGCCTATTCTATTGGATGAGGAGGGAAGGCAAGAGATTAGGAAGAAGCATATGTGCAGAGTACATGCTGTGAATTGCATGCATGTGAGTTGTCAATGTGGATGACATTTTCAGCCATTTCTAAGAAATGAGCTCAAGAAGCAGTGGAGAAAATGAGATAGCAGCAGCCATCTGGGGGAGGGACCGGTCTAATTGGGGGGGGTTGTTTTGGAACCCTTTTTTATTTAGGGGGGTTTTTCTGAGATATGAATTGTTTAGTATTGGGGGGTTCACCCGGACCGGACTAATAGGGGGGGGATATCTAATACGGGGTCAACATTAACATACGGCACCCCCTGGTTTGCCAGGGCTGGAGGATTGAACAGGCACAGTCACATAGGCTGAGGTTCAAACCTTGAGCGCCTGTCCACGATACAAGATCTATGGACAATTTCTCAAATCCCAGGTTTTTGCACATGCTGATATTGTTTACCAATAATCTTACACATGGTGACTTTGAGCAAAATAGAGCACTGCGGCTGATAGTTCATTCTTTCATGCTCGTGCATATTCCTGAACCAGCTAATTGCAGCGTGCAGCCAGACCAAAGAAGTGTTTGGCCGACCGCCCCATGTGTCAATGAGCGAACTCGCAAAAGGTGCTGGAGCTTGACGCATAACACCAAGAGCGAGAGAGAGAGAGAGGATGAAGCAAAGACAGGGGGATCGCTGTTGGAGGAAATGGCAGAGCGGAGACTGAGGGTTCAAGATGCTCATGCCTGATGGTCAAGATGCTCATGTGTGTGTGTGTATCAACTGCCTGACTACAGTAGAATAGAAAGAGGCACCTGATGACAGCTAAAATAAATCCTGTACTGTTGCACCCATTTGTATGATGCGAGCTACTTTGTCGCACTATCACAAGCTTCTCTGGATCCATTGCAGAGACTTCACATTTGAGTGCCAGTTGAAGTGTTCTTCTGAGAACTGGCGGTTCCTTCCATTGACAGCAAACCGCACATGACCTTCCAGCAAAAGCACAGCCAGCTCAGACACAGTCGCCGCAAAGGAAAACAAGTGAGCTGAAAGCGCAGCGATTCCGTCCGTTGCCATGGCGACCTTGGAGCGGTCTGTGACGCCGCAGCGGAAGCCTTTGCCCGGGGACCGGGCGGGGAGGGTGATCTGGGTGTGCGGGCCAGATCTTTGTAAACTGAGACACTGTCGTCAAAGAGAAACATCGCTATGCAGCAATAAAACGCCTATGGCCAGGTGTTGGGCGCACTACTGACAAAGCCTTTGCGCCCTGCTATTTGTTGCCTCCACTCGGGTGTCGCCTCAAACTTGAGATGCACAGACTTCCTGGCTTGCCTTAGAGCAGTCTTGAACCCCCTTGGCCGCAGGGCCAGGCATCAGTCACACGTGTTACTGCTGGATGTTTGGAAGAAATGATCTCTGGCAAGACAGGGCTTGCCCGACTGTTTGATGCAGGACCAGCTGCATGTGATTGGTCATGGCCCTGCCGTGCTGCTGGAGGCGAGAACGATCAGTTGAGCTGCTTGTTTAGTAGGTGGACGGGCGGGGGGGGGGGGGTTGGCTTTTTTGTTTTTTAAGTGACCCCCCTGCCCTTTTAACCAACAAACAAACAGACTCGCTACCCTCAAACAAAGGCAGACCCAATTTATTGCCTGAACAAGGGACACAGAGGCAACTCACAAGGTTGGAATGGGTAAGAGTCAGCTGCCTGGCCGTCTGGTTCAGTGGGCTGGCACTGACCAAGTAGTTCTTTCGGAATGAAACAAATACAAAAATTTAGACGCGGCTTGCAGATGGCCTTTGGTTCCACAGTCCACGTCCAATTCGTGAGTAAGTTTTTGCATATGGCCAATTCGCGCGCGTGTTCACCTTTTCTATGGCCAATGTGAGAGGGTTTTCCTCTTCCTGCTGGTCAAGCTGTGCCTGGCAGAGAAAGCTTAACTTGAGGGAGTGAACACCGTTTGCGGCAGCCCTTTCCTGTCAGGCAGTGCTGAGCGGCTCGGACATCGCGGCGTACAAGGCTCGCGGGCTTGCTACACCGAGGTATGCCCTTTCAGTCTCCCTGTCAGTGGAAGTTTGCAGATGCCGCCGTATGTTCGACGGGGGATTGTTGATTTTTCATTGTAGGGAATTTGCTTGGCTTCGTTTGCACACAATCTGCTTCACGGATGCTGTCGGTTTGTCAATGCGCCTTGGAACTCGTGGCAAAGCACACTTGCGCCCGCACGTTGAAGCAGCTTGTGTATGTCACAAAGTGTTGCTTTGTCCCCAGGCCCCTGTTGGCTACTTCTCAGTCAATGGCCAACGTACTGGCTCTGAGCCTCCTTCTTTCAGCAAGAGCCTGGTCCCCCAGAAGCGTAGGCGTGCCATGCAGGCTCAGGTGAAGATCAAGAGAGGCAACAACCTGGTTTGGCCCCTCCCCTGCATCCTGCGGCGAGTGTCCGATTGCCGCCCCTTCCAGGTCCGGTATCCTGACGGCACCCAGGAGTTGGGGGGGAGGCTTGAGAAAGCCTCGAATCGTTGATGGGATGGTTAGCTTCGGTTCAAACCTCAGCCCTCCAGTGAAGAAATTTGTGTTGAGCCTCTCAACTGATGGGTGAAGATCAGACCTCACTCCTTCCTTCGGAGTCGGACAGGACTGTAGGTCTCCACATGGCTCCACATTCGATGAAACTATGGGCTGTCCGTACACCTATTTGGGGCGCACTCAAATCCTGCCACCGAGGAAGACCTGGCATGGTCTAGCTTGTACTTTGGGCCTCAATGGGGGTGGAGGCCACGTCAAATCCAGCATTATGGAATCGATGCGATGCGCTTCCAAGGACTGCCCTTCCAAGGACTGCCCCAGCCCCCAAAGTATGTTTATTTTTTGCCTGAGTACAGGCCCGCTGCCCCTGTCACAGAGACTGTTGGCGCCAGCCGCCAAATGCTTGCATCTTGAGAGGACAGCGTGGCGCCTGACCAAGCCCTGATCTGTGAGAAGAAGGCTTGCCGCTTTCCACGACATGGCAGTGGCATTTGGTTCATTCCAACTTGGGAAGGCAAGGGAAGAACTTGTGTTTTTGGTGTTGGATGACGATGGCTAGTTACTGCTAGCTGCGAGAGTCTCAGCGAGCACCTCAAAGGGAATTTGGATGAATTTGGTTGGTGAATCGCCAGCAGGTGCAGGGAATGCTACCTGCCTGACGACTTGATACGTTCCAAACATATTTCATGAACATTGGGTGAAGCAGCCGCGCAAATCCCCTGCCAGTCCGAATATGATTTGCAAGGAAGCTTCAAAGCTTCAAGTCTAGCATGCTCTGGCCGATCAACATCGACAGGAAGAACGGCTTTGCATAGGATGCCTCCTGATCGAGCAATCCAATGGCGCCAGGACAGGTCAGCGAGCCGTATGTCCCAAGGTGCAGCTGGCCTGGCTGCGTAAGTTTTCATGACCGAGCGACGCAGACTTGGTTTGGGGATGCCGAAGGATTTGTCCAAGCGGTGTACCACACCTGTCGTTCGAATTCCGGGTGCCATGCACCGGCCAGATCGAGTAGGAACAACCGCTGGGTGCTCCTTGCCCTTTACTGCTTGAACCATGTCGGGGGCAGAAGACGAAAACTTGGCGCAGGGCTTTGACACCGAGAGAATCATTTGTCCTTGCAATCGGTACACCGTTGTGGACGCACGGTCATTTCTATGTACAAATGGGAGTGCTAGCACCCGAAGCCATCGACGAAAGGAAGACACATCCTGCCTGAACAAGTCAGGCTGCAGTCTTGCAGTGCCCTTGGAATTGTTTGCAACACTTGCCATGCTCTGGTCGTATGTTGAGTTCTGTGTTCTGGCATGCTTTCAGCCCAGATCTACCGGGAGGCACAGTCCGTTGTTCAGACTCGCGCCGAACACCAGAAGCTATTGACATAAACACGACAGTGCAATTTCCATTAAGACTGAACATCGAACATCAAGTCAGAACCATGAAGTTTCCTAGTTGCTCAGGTCGCTTAGCACTGCCAACACCATAGGCATTTGGAGCTTTTTTCCTCCCCACCAATGCAGGGTGCCATGTGTTGCTACTCCCAATGCCGCAAGTCGCCTCACAGCATGTGTGGTTCCTTGGAGTGGGTGCCCCAGCCCGACACAACATCTGAGCTGGTGCTTCGACGTTTGCAGTTTCAAGGCACGTTATTTTTCCTAAACAGCTCCTTCAACGTGTCCCTTGGGCGAAACATGAGTCGAAGCTTTATTGAGGGTGAATGCACCCTTTCGGAGGGACGAAATATTGCAATCAGACGCTTTCGGGGGGCCAAAGGTGACCTCGATCGCCGCTCATTTGTTTGGGCTTGCCAGGCAGTGGCTGTGACTCCCAGGGTGCGGTGCTTGGCGATGCGTTGCTTGGGTTGTCATGATATATTGCTATGTCACAAAAAGGGGTTCGCATCGGGGTCCGAGGCCACGCACCAAAGATAAACCAAGCATTGCTTTGGCACAGGACTTTGGACGCACGCTCTCATTGGCGCTTATTCTGAAGCTTTTTCTGTTCGCGCGGGTGGCTGAGGCTTGGGTCAGGACCGCTCCGAGCGCAACGACCGTGCTGAGCCGCTGATGCAGCGAGGAGTGATCAAGAGACCCGATGGCTCGGCTGTAGGGTCAGCTGTGCATGCACCTGAGTCAGAAATGTGTTTGCTCTTGTCATCCCAGTTCTGGTGTTTGGCATTGATTGCCCAACCTGATGATCGTGGTGTGCCAGCTGCAATATTAAGCTCCAGTGGGTTGGACCGGTGCCATGGCTGCAAGCGAAGGGGAGACGTTCCACTTTCAGCAGCAGGGCGGCAAGTGTAAGCTCGTGGCAGAAGATGACTTCACAAGCTTCCTGAAGGGAGATCTGAAACTTTCCGACTCAAGTCGCATAGAATCACTGAAAGTACAGTGGCAAAAACACCAACGATGCTTGCGGCATCAGCGACAGCAGGAGGCCAAGGTAGCGAGCTACTTGAAGCAGCACCAGTTCCATGATGTCAACGCTGAGAAGGTGATGTCCTGCGGTTTCCGATACACCTACCCGATCGTGCATGCGGCACGAGCAAGGGATGCCTCCATGGTTTTCTTGTTACTACGCAGTGGAGCCAATCCCCAACAGAAAGATCAGTGGGGATACACCGCGTTTGACTATTTGCAGCCCAAGGAGCGTGAACAGGTTCACCGGCTTTATGCGCAGCTACAGTTTGAACGCCTTGGCCAAGGAACATGCAAAAGCTTGCAGGCTATGCGCGCAAAGCTAGCACAGTGAGCAGTGTGAGCTGGCCATCATGGCCGAGGCGCCAATCACTTAGTATGCAGGCGCTGACGTTAAGCATGCTTTTTGACCGTGTCAGGCTTAGCGAGACAGTCACAAAGCATTGTTTCGTGCACGCAGCGTGGCAGGCAAGTTTTGATTCCAGCTTGCAGATTTTGTGGACATGCCCTCACTCCGTCCCAGAGACGGGCTTTTGTAAGACCCTCGGCATTTGAAAGCTGTGGGGCAATGCTTTGTCAGAGGCAAGCAGATTGAACTGATACAGCATAACTACAGAAGTCAGTGCTGGGCAGGCCAGACCACTCAGCTGGCGTTTGTTTTTGGAACCACACACCTGGCCACAAAGAGCCAACATTTCTTGGTGCCACGGGATTCTGAAATCTCGCTTTGATAGCTCTTTCACAATACTGCCATGTAGCTTATCTTACACCTGCCCAAAGCGCGGCGGATGGAATTGCTAGTTGGCCAGTGTTGCCAGAATCCGGAATCGCCAGACTGCCTGACAACCTTCCCACAACTTTGGTGCATTTTGCTTGGATGTTAGGACTTTAACTTTTTGCCAACTCATGGGTTTTTCATTAAGCCACTAAAAGTTAAACCTTTAGCAGGGGAGCAGAAAGCAACCGAGACAAAGTGTCAGAGGGGAGGAGAAGCCAGGCGAGTACTTCGCCGTACCGTTAGGCTAGGGCTTCACGCCCCATGCGCTGGCCCAGATCGCCATTGGCCACGCAGTGTGATGGGATGGACAATTCAATTGCGAAGGTTTAGCGTCCATGTCTGTCAAGCCTAATTTTAGCTCACAGACATGGTAGCAATAGTTTAAGAGGGGAAATTATGCTTTCATTTCACATCTTGTTTTGTTATGTTTGCTTGTTTTTTGGATTGTTCAATCTGGTGCACGCTGGAGGCCCTCAAATCGTGGGTATGGCATTGTGCCATGCCAGTTTCAAGATTGAGCCAGCATTAGCAAAAAGGTTTGCTGCCAGCTCCGTGCAAGGTTTGCTCTTGGCCTTGGAGACTTGTTTCTCACATGCAGATTAATGGAAGGTGCCAAGCATTAGTTGCCTGCGGCGCAGTTGTTGGCAGGGGAACTTATCGGATTTATCTCGCGTCTCATACTGCACATCGGAAATTGAGGTCCCCCATAACAGAAATGCTCTCAAACAAGCAGATGTTCTTGCGGGGTCGCTCTACAAGTCATCAATATTAAGTTGTCAGGGCTTCATGATACTTGGGTACCTCCATATTGAACGTGATCTTTTGCCGTGCAGGAGTGTCAGGCTCCTCCCAGCCTCCTCTGTGCTGCCGCCACTGTTGCCGTCCACGGTCCGCAGCTGATCCGAGTGAAAGTTGCTTCAGATAAGCCAATAGACCATCTCCCACAGCCGCATGCTTTCGAATGCACAAGGAGCTAAACAAATCAATTCCAGACATCAAGCTTCCAAGCTGACTAGTTGGGTGGCTGATATCGGACCTCCAGTCAAGCAAGGAAACAAGCTACAAGCCATTGTTTGAAGCGCCCATCCCGTGAAAGCCCCCAAACCATGGAAGGGGAATGGGGAAGAATAGGAAAGGAAAGCAAAATCGAAAGACAGAGAGAGAGAGAAAGAAAGAAAGAAAGAAAGAAAGAAAGAAAGAAAGAACGAAAAGAATACCAAGGAAGGAAATAAAGAAAGAAAGAAATAAATCAAGAAGAAATAATGAAATAAATAAAGAAAGACAGAAATAAAGAAAGAAAGAAATAGAAGAAAGAAAAATAAAATAAGGAAGTAAGGAAGGAAGGAAGGAAGGAAGGAAGGAAAGAAAGAAAGAAACAAAAACAATTAAATCAGAAAGAACTGAGTAAATAGATAAATAATAAATAACAAAATAACAAAATGTCTAGGTAAATAAATACATAATAAACAATGAAAGACATGAACAAATAAATACATTACAAAGAACGAAAAGAAAGAAACAAATAAAGAAAGAAATACAGAAAGACAGAACACAAACAAACAAACCAACTAACAAACAACCAAGCAAGCAAACCACAAACGAGCAGACAGACAGACATACAAGCAGACAAACAAACAATCAAGCAAACAAGCAATCACAAAGACAGATCGGCAGGCAGGCAGGCAGGGCGGGCAGGGCAGGCAGGATAGACAAACAGAGAAACAACCACAAACGAAAACAACCGACAACAGACAAACAAACACAAACGAACACAACCAAAGAAATGAGACAACAAGTAATCAGGCACACCAAGCAACAAACCAGCAACACAAACAGCAAAACAGACACACACCCAAACAAACACACACACAAACAAGAAAACAAGCAGGCAAATACAGCAAGCAGCTCGGACAAGGGAGGAAGCTATCAAACACACACACACAGACACACAGACACACAGACACACAGACACACAGACACACGCAGACACACGCAGACACACACACAGACACACACAGACACACAGACACACACAGACACACACACACACAGACACACACAGACACACGCAGACACACGCAGACACACGCAGACACACGCAGACACACGCAGACACACGCAGACACACGCAGACACACGCAGCAGACACACGCAGACACGCACACGCAGACACGCAGACGCACACGCAGACGCACACGCAGACACACGCAGACACACGCAGACACACGCAGACACACGCAGACACACAGCAGACACACAGCAGACACACACAGCAGACACACAGAGACACACAGAGACACACAGAGACACACAGAGACACACAGAGACACACAGAGACACACAGAGACACACAGAGACACACAGAGACACACAGAGACACACAGAGACACACAGAGACACACAGAGACACACAGAGACACACAGAGACACACAGAGACACACAGAGACACACAGAGACACACAGAGACACACAGAGACACACAGAGACACACAGAGACACACAGAGACACACAGAGACACACAGAGACACACAGAGACACACAGAGACACACACAGAGACACACAGAGACACACAGAGACACACACACAGAGACACACGACACAAGACACACGACACACACACAGACACACAGAGACACACACACAGAGACACACACACACGACACACACACACGACACACACACACGACACACACACACAGACACACACACACACACACAGACACACACACACACAGACACACACACACAGACACACAGACACACACACACACACACAAGACACACACACAAGACACACACACAAACACACACACACACACAAACACACACACACAAACACACACACACACACAAACACACACAAACACACACACACACAAACACAGACACAAACACACAAACACACAAACACACAAACACACACACACAAACACACAAACACACAAACACACAAACACACAAACACACAAACACACAAACACACACACACACACACACACACACAGACACACAGACACAGACACACACACACACCCACCCGCACCCGCCCCGCCGCCCGCCCGCCCGCCGCCCGCCCGCCCGCCCGCCCGCCCGCCCGCCCGCCCGCCCGCGCCCGCCCGCCCGCCCGCACGCACGCACGCGCACGCACGCACGCACGCACGCACGCACGCACGCACGCACGCACGCACGCACGCACGCACGCATCTATTTTCAACTTGGAACGTTTGTGCATGCCCATCAGACTTGGAAGAGTTCAGTCTAAATTATCCATTCGTTTCTTACGAATGCCTTTTCCACATTTCAACATTCTTAGCCAGATTGTAATGAGAAGCAACCACGAGCTCTTGTAATGCAACCAAGCTTGCCTTTGAGCATGAAGCTGACAAAGTTGCTGGACGAGGGGATAGTATATGGATTTGTGCGTGGTGTATTGCTCCAGCTTTGGCATTCATGACCCAACACATGCTTTACGAAAGACTCTTCTCAGAACTCCATTGACCAAACAGTTGGTGAAACAGTTGCGACCATTCGGCTTAATGCTGCCAGGCGTTGAATCTGCTATTGCCACATCAGGAAAGATGGGAACCCAACTCGCTGTAGAGGGAAGACTAACTCAACTCAAAGATCACGAAAAGAAGAGCTCGAAGCCCAAGCGGCAGGTGGCTGTTCGCCAGGTCGGCCAGCCCTCGTGGCCCACGCCAGTTGGAGTACTTGGGCCGCGCCTTCGACGATGAGAGGAGTCCATGGGGTCCCGGTCAGAGTTGATGGGAATGAGTTGCGTGTGAATCGCTTCGGCTTGTTGGTTTTGTTTTGGAATGACACGAGACACGTATCCTATCAGAACATATGACATACCTCTCCCCGCAACTCGCACTTGGCGAGTGAACCTTGTTTGCAGGCGGAGCATCGCTACGCCTTCCGCCACCTTCTCTTTGGCTTTGCGCTCGGTGCAAACCGCAACGCTGGCTGTTACCAAGAATGATTATGTGGTCAGATGCAGCCAGGGGCTGCTTCACATAGTGTGGACTGCATTGCTGCTTGCACAAAGGGTTTTGCATGTGGCCTGGTGTTTGACACAAGACTTTCCAGGTGTGCTTGTCGTGTGTTTGCTGACCAGTTGCGGCGTTAAGGTTGCGACGATGGTGGGCGTTGATCTTAGCGTAACATTCGGTTGAAACTACTTGGAGGGACGATGACGGTAGCTCCTGGCTGAAACGTCAATTTCATTGAGGCGGCTGTGGATGTTAACGAACGGAGACACGCTGGAGTAGTGCTCACCTCGCAAGGACACTCTCTTCTCACACATGGTTTGAAGTGGTATACTTCTACCAGTACACACCTGCAGACTCACGATGCCCACACACACAAACACACAAACACACACTTGCGGGCGAAGACACAGATACGTCACACGAAAGTTTTCTCGCAACAAGAGGGAACATCTTGTACCAGCCCAGACTAACGTGACTTGCAAGGTTCACATCTCCAGAACGTGGGGACTCAGCAGCGTCGCCAAGTTGTTCTTAAGTCAATTGGCTGTTTCAAGACACAAATCCTTGGTCGAATCAATGCGTCATCCAATTCAAGTCGTAAAGTCGACCCCAGCCCACTGGGCTGGGCTCATCAGTATAACACTCCGTGGATCGTCATAGACTTCACCAAAAACGACCATCCCCTGCTTTAGTTAGGGTTGCGCCCTCGCTGAGCCGCATTCGCTTTTCCGTGTGCATGGACTGAAGCGTGCGTGTGTCTGTGTAGCCATCAACACATAAACACATGCACAGTAATTATATGGCTTAGAGTCGGCTAAGGCTGGTGTAGGGCAGCCGGCAGCCATGGCAGCCTAAAGATCGGTTTGGCTGAGTGTTTGTCAAGGCTTGGATGTTTGTTGGGTTAATGTAGGATTGCCTGGCCATCGGTTTGCGATGGGTTGGCCCGGTTGGGAAACCAGCATTTACTGGTCGTGGCACATAGATGCGCATCAAAACACGCGCTTCTGCACGGCATGGTGGAATTGCATGTTGGAGTTGCTCGACCGTAGATTGTTATTCTCTTGTGAAAGGTGGCGGTGTGCTGTCACTCCCTTTTGCGATGAGCCAGCCTGGGTCTCAGTTGCGGCTTCTTCTCTTCTTGGTGTGAGAAGGCACGAGTTGCTACTACCCTGAAACAAGGGTGTAGGTGCAGGGTTTCGGCAACCAGTGCCCAGTGCCACAAGAGAATCGACGTACCAGCCCCAGCAAGCAGCCGGTGTGTTGAAATCTGTCATTGGCAGGCTGTCTCTTCTGCCGCAGTAGGTGTCCAAAGTCTCCAGGTGTGGCCTGGTCTTGGGAACTGGCTGCCTCATGCTCTCAGCGGTTGGCAGTGTCGGTACCCGAGTCGGCCCGCGATCTGCGATGTTAGAAGGGAAGTTCAGGGATAGGGTCCTTCCCGCATTCCCTGCCAGGAAGAGGCTGGTTGCGCCAGGGTTCGTTGCAAATGGAGCATGGACTCTTTGGAGGGTGCAAGTTGAGGAGCTCATTGGCTCTCCACAAGGCTCCAGGTCTCATGGAGTTTCCATCAAAGCTATAGCTTCGTGGCTTGCTGTGAAGGATTTTGTCATTGTCAGCAAATATAGCTCGGTTGCTCATTTCTGGAGGTGTGCACGCAGGTGATAGCTCAAAGTCTCGGCAGGGTTTGGCGGACTCTGTGAACCCCCGGCACTGCTTGAGACTATTGGATGACCAAGGCATGGACACTTTCTATGCTCGTGGACTGCGCGCGCGCCACGGGCCGGGAGCCGCAGAAAAAAAAGGGACCACATTGGCGCATGTTTAGGAGTCTTGTTCAAAGCCAACACTCAGCAATTCAAACTTGCTCAGAGAACTTGCCGAGAAAAGCTTGCATAGAGATCTTGCTCAGCGAAACTTGGCTGTTGTTCTTCAAGGGTCAGCCAGAGGGTCGCCAAACGCAGCGTTTGTTTCTTTGTGCAAATCCTTTGACTAAAAGCTGCAAAGCGTTCGGGTTGCACCCCGACCCGCCCCGATCCATTCAAGCGGTCGCATTTCCGAGCAGTGTTTGCGTTCCCACCCCGCCTTAAACAGCAACAACTTGAATTTGACTAATTCATACTAATCTTCATCTGTAAACAAGTTCCTCTGTTGAGTTCTAAAGTAGGAATTAGACACGAGCTCGTACGTCACGCGTTCTGTTGTTCTGTTATGTTCTGTTTGCACCCTGTGGTCTCCATCTTGGAGCAAACGTCACAAAGGAGAAGAGCTCCAGCCTGCCCCGCAATGTCCGGAACATGTTGGTCTTGCAGGCCAAGGAAGCGCACAACAACTTGTTCAAAGAACTTGCTCAGAGAAGATTGCTCATTGTTGTTTCTCAGCGAAACATGTGCATCCAAAGCGCGCGGCTATTTAATGTTGCTGCGTGAGAACAGTCTTTACACCTTGGTCCATGCTTTCGGGCCACCAGTCTTCTAGTTTCATAGCACGCTATGCGGTACGACACCCGTGTGCGCGGCAGACGTAACATTTTCAGGGTTGAGCCTTGGCTTTGGCAGCCAATTGGTGTGGCACTTGCCGACCTCAGGCCGTGACAGCTTTGAGTTGGTTGGCCATGCTGCATACGGTGAGTTCAGCCGCAAGGAGCGGGTTTGGCATGGAATCCGCTCCTTTTTCTGGATCGTGGTTGTTTTTTTTGCATGTGCTCTCAGCTACTTGGACGGATACTAGCTTTCTGGCAAAGCATGCAACCAATCAAGAGCTGAACCCCCAGGGTGTGTTTTGCTTTGCGCAGCTCATGTTCCCTTGTGCGAAGCCGTTCGAATGACGGCAAGACTGAACGCCTGCAAGCGCTTTGCAGAATTTGCTGCACCCGATGAACCTGTTGCATCGGAGTCAAGGCAAAGGCTCATATCAACAGAAACCACCAGAGACGAGCGTTCCACATGGCCGCTACGCTCGGCAGGGCACCATCGCCCCCAGCTCAGCGGGGCGCGGTGTCAAGCACCAAGGCCCTGAAGGAAGGCTTTTACGTGAAGCTCCTAGAGCTATCCGGTCAGGTATTGTGGCATTGCTCCGGTCCCGCAGGGATCAACTTGCATTGTTTGCATTGCATGTTTTTTATTTGAGGCAGTACTTAGGCCAGGGATCAAATGGGTCCGCTGACGTTAACTTCAAAACAAGGACGAAGCGAAAAAGAGACAGACATTAGCTCAGAAGCTGGCATGATTCACAGTTGGCGCAACAACTATTTGACATTCGTAGAAACGTTGCATTGCGGCAACCTCTCAATATGCACATGTTCACCGGTTCCCCGTGCCGGACTCTGGGCACCGGTGTTGCGGGGACTTGCCCTTTTGGGTGGGAGGGGGGGGGATGTGGTCCAAAACTAATAGTGAAAAAGCAAGACTTGCGTGGTGTCAAAGAAGCAACGAAGTAACTTTCCCAAGGTGGCTATCATCTTGGGAATAGTATGACATTGGGAAGGACTTAGAGGGACCACTCGAAGAGATCAGTATAGGTGTCCTTGCAACTTGGTTTTGCGGTGTTAAGCTTCTGGTCTTCGCCACCCCGCACCCACCTTAGACTAACCCCAAAGTATACTAAGCCTAAACTAACCCTAAGCCAATTCCCAAAAAACCCAACCCCAATCCCCAATGCCACCCCCCAAACCAATCCAAAGCAAACCACAAACCAACCCTTAAGCCAACCTCAATCCCTTCCCTGAACCAACCTCAAGTCAACCTCTAGATCAACCCCAAACCCTCTGCAAACTTACCAGCCCTAAACCAAGCAAACGCCCACGTGAAAATTCAGACCGCAACCCACCCTTGACCAACCCAAAGCAAATCCAACATTCATCCCAAAGCCCTATCAACGCTAAGCCGACTGTAGCCTCACCCCTAATCCAAGCTGCATACCCAAACCTAAAACAGCCCACCCACACCAATCCTGAACCCGCCCTAAGTTTTCCCAACCATGCCCTAAGCCTGACTGCACTCGGCACCCAACCTAAGCCCACCCTAAGGCAGCCCAACACTCCCCCACGGTCCCCAAATCCACTGTAAGCCAGCCCCAAACCGAAGGGTCCCGAAACCAACTCCAAAGCCACCCTCCATGACACCATGCTGTGATAAAACGCGGCAGTGATTCCACACCTAAAGATTAGTCGTGTGAAGCAGCAAGCAGTCACACACACACACACATTCAGACGAACAATCAAACACATTGACTCTTTTGTTTCTGATGAGCAGCATTGGAAACGTGACTCGCACAGAGGATTACATTCTGCTTCAGAGCGTGGCTCATCCATCGAATTGTAGTTCTTGTTTTATTTCCCACAGGCATGCAGATTTCGGATGATTTCGGCACTTGGTGTGAAACAGAGAGCCAAGTGGCTCTCTTATAAGACTTCACCTCCAAGTGATGTTCATGCCCACAACTGTCTCTCGTCATCCCTGGTTCTGCATGCCTTGTGCACGACATTTCGGCCCTGAGGCGCTGGTTTTCATCATTTGCTGGCTCACGAAGATTGCCTACTTCGTGCTGCTGACTGACCTCATGGCGCGGCACGGGCAGTCCCACGACAAAGCATCGACCGTGTTTCACAACGAACAAGGTCATAGCAGTGTTTCCCAAAAACAAAACTAGAGGACGATTGGCCCGAAAGCATTTTTCCCCAAGCGCTTCCCATCATGTGCTTTTCCAGCCGCGGAGACGCCCTTTTACATCGATGCAACAGCTTCTGCAAAGCAGGCTCGTGCAACTTGGCTCTATGTAACTTGACTCTATGCAACTTGGCTCTGTGCAACTTGGCTCTGTGTAACTTGGCTTTGTGCCACTTGGCTCTGTGCCACTTGGCTCTGTGCAACTTGGCTCTGTGCAACTTGGCTCTGTGCAACTTGGCTCTGTGCAACTTTGGCTCTATGTAACTTGGCTCCGTGCAACTTGGCTCTGTACAACTTGGCTCTATGCAACTTGGCTCCTATGTAACTTGGCTCTATGTAACTTGGCTCTATGTAATGGTAACTTGGCTCTATGTAACTTGGCTCTATGGTAACTTGGCTCTATGTAACTTGGCTCTATGTAACTTGGCTCTATGGTAACTTGGCTCTATGTAACTTGGCTCTTGGCTCTATGTTGGCTCTATGGCTCTATGTAACTTGGCTCTATGTCACTTGGCTCTATGTAACTTGGCTCTGTGCAACTTGGCTCTGTGCAACTTGGCTCTGTGCAAACTTGGCTCTGGCTCTGTGCAACTTGGCTCTGTGCGACTTGGCTCTCTTGGCTCGTGTAACTTGGCTCTGCGCAACTTGGCGCGCTACTGCCTGGCGCGCGCGGGGGGGTTTCCGAAAACTGGTGATGCTGGTGATGCTGGTGATGCTGGCGATGTTGACGATGCTGTGGCAGCTAGAGACTGCAAAAACAAACCTGCGCGCTGCGACCTGGCACGCGCGGGTTTTTCCGAAGGCTGGCGGTGCTAGCGACGCAGGCGATGTTGCGGAGCAGGCCTACGAGCTATCTTGTGCTAGTCAGATTGCGCTTGCAGGGTCATCATCAGCTTGCAGGGTCTTTGACTTTCCAAGGCCAGGTCCACGGGGGCAACATGGAGGGGCAACAAAGCCGTGCGACCCCTCCACTGCAGCGCGCAGTGCGCAGTGCACCCGAACAGCTCCCCTACTCAAGTTCGAACCTGACAAGTCGAGATTTTGACTCGCTGCTGTCAGCCAAGCTGAGGGAAAAGCTGAGGGAATCGGGGGCGCTAGGCGCGTCTCGCGTCACGACACTGCCTCAGCAGAGTGTCACTGCCGCGCAGTTGCAAACAACCGCATCGAAATGATCGCGTTAGATCACAGGGAAAACAGATAGATCGCACTAATCCGCGACAGTCAGCGATGAAAAGCTGCTGGGGCCATCATCAGCTTGTAGGGTCCTCGTTGTTCGTGCTCCGAGCGGACATCTCCTCGAGCTTCTTCATCCTCTCGACCAACATGCCGTTGCGCTGGTGCAAGAAGCCTTCGAAGTACTGTCGATCGGGCAGCGCAATGATCGTCAGGTCGCTCAACTTGGTGGCGCGCGACAGCATGACGTACAGAGCCAGCCCATAGTCGGCCTCCTTCATCCAGGACGGCTGCGTCAAGAGCGCAGCCAGTCCGCGGCGGGCAGTCGCGCCCTGAAGCCCTGAGGCACCTCAGGCATTCGCATTACATGGCGTTTGCCACCCTTGGTTTCCTGGCACCTCTTGTCGCAACGTTGCTCGTCCCCTTTACTCAACATCTCGGGACTTATTAACACGGCTTCTCTGCGCGTCGACCTTACCGAGGGGCTCCGAGCACAGTCGTCCTCGCAGCCAGTCACTTGCACAAAGGTGTGACACATCATGTGCTGTGGGGAAAAATGTCGTCTCAGAGCGTCACTCGGTCAAGCTCCTAGACATCGTGCACGAAGTTGAGCTGGTACCGTGCGCGGGTCGATGTTTGACGAGGAGCGCGCAAACCGTGAGAAGTAAGATAGCGACGCAGCTCTGCCTGACGAGGCACAGCAGAGGCGCGAGCAAGTCACGACAACCGCAAAGACCCTGTGCGCCTTTTTTTCCTCAGCGCTCGCGCGCAGCTCCTGTATGCAACTAGTTCGCAAGACAGCGTTGAAGCAGCAAAGCAGTCGTGCTGAGCACGATCTCCGCCGTGGCCGATCAGTCTAGCTCGCCTTTTGCGCTCGCAAGCGGTTGAGCGCAAGCAGCGCGTAGTCTCGACTTTGCCAAGGGCAAAGAGCTGGGCGAGCCTCCAGCAGGGCAGCCGCTGCCTCGTCCACGGCGCACTGCCCATCAAGGACTAGCCACGCGCACAGCACGCCTAGGCTGCGGTTGATCCCGCCGAAGCAGTGGAACAGCACATTGAAGTCCTCCCCGGACTCGAGGCAAGACTCTCTGATGCCGCAAAGGGCACGCCACATGCCGCGCCAAGTCTCGGCGCACCGCCGGGCGCACTCCAGGAACTGCCCGGGGGTCGTCGAGCGGCGCCTGCAAGTGCGTGACCCCGCTCTCGTGGCGCAGCGTGATGTGGCACAACTCCAGGTCCAGGCAGACGCGGTTGTGGAGGGTGAGCCCCTGGCAGCTCTGCGTGGCTCGGCCGGGTGGCCCGCAGCAGCTCCTGGTTCTTCAGCCACATGTGGTTGTTGTGCCTCACTGTGTCCGGCTCCACTTCCGCCACGGCCACGAAGACTCCTTTGGATGAGGCGCAGCCCCGCCACACCCTCATGCTCTGGGGGCTGTTTTGGGGCGTTATAAATTTATCACACCCGTTTTGAGTCTCACCCAAATCTATGTGGATGACCTGGGTCTCCAGGTGGAGCAGCTTCAAGGTTTGCGGCGCCAGGGCCCGGTTCGCCGCTGCGTTGACGGCCATGCGCTTGCTGTGGCTGATGACCAGCGTGGTGTCCGGCCACCCGGGCTTTGAGGGGAAGAGCTTTTCAGCCTCGCCTTGGCCTGCTCCAGCGTGGGGCCCCCTCCTCGCCTACCCGCAGCCACTTCACGAAGTCGAAGATGCCGGGGTCGGAGCGCCGGTGCCCGCCGGCCAGGTCACGGACCAGCTGGCTGTGCTCCAACGAAGCGCTGATGGGCCGCCCGGCTCAGGAGTCCACTTGGCTCTATGTACTTGGCTCAAGCTCTATGTAACTTGGCTCTATGTAACTTGGCTCTATGTAACTTGGCTCTATGTAACTTGGCTCTATGTAACTTGGCTCTATGTATGGTATGTAACTTGGCTCTATGTAACTTGGCTCTATGTAACTTGGCTCTATGTAACTTGGCTCTATGTAACTTGGCTCTATGTAACTTGGCTCTATGTAACTTGGCTCTGTTTGTAACTTGGCTCTATGTAACTTGGCTCTATGTAACTATGTAACTTGGCTCTATGTAACTTGGCTCTGCGTAACTTGTCCAAGGGCTCCGCACGGAAGAACCCTTCGCGATGCTTTCGGGAATTGAAGCTCACGCAAACTTTTTTACAAGATGAGAGAGTGCGAAGCAGAGTTGATGCAACCAGGGAGCAAACAGATGCAAGAGGAAGAATTCAGGCAGGAGTGCAGGTTTCCTGCATTTGGCTGGCAGGGAAAGGGATACAGCCCCGGAACCCGACAAGACCAGCTTGCACATAATTTTGCTTTGGGAAGACCTCCTTTTGGCCATGAGAGTGTTAAGGGGAGTAACTGTTTGCTGACTGTGGGATGACAGCCTGTCTGGCAGGTTCCAGTGGCTGAGCTTTGTGTGCCGGGGGCTCGTGTGGCATTTGACCGGGCAACGTCGAGCAAGAGAAGGCCTCACAGAGCGCTTCGTTTTATGGATGTCGAAGTAATCTACCAACTGCTAAACGAGTTTGGCCGGCTAGACCATGCAGGCCAGCAAACATGCAGGAAAGCAAAAGGTCCACACTGCATGCTCGTTACTCAATGGCCTACACGGTGTTAAGGAATAGGACATTGGCCACTCTACAGTATGCTGGCTAGTATTTGGACTTCACAATCCATCTGCCGCACAGCCTGTGAACCATGAGGCCTGCCCTGCAAAGCCTGACGCCTGCGGCTGTGCGCCGCGTGGTGGGGGCCCTATGCGGTTTCACGAGTGGCATTTACGGTTCTTGTTTTGGGGCGCGGTCTTGAGCGCTTGCAAGTGCCCTCGACCGAGGTCGTTTGCGTCGCTGCGGTGCTTCTCTCTCCCATGTGCTTCAAGAGTCGCTTGGCCGATCTGTGAAGCGGGCACCGGGCGTTTGCCTGGTGATATGAGCCATATAGGCACGAAGGACCAAGCGGTCAGCTTCTACGATTCTACAACTCAGGCAGCCTTTCCTCCTTGCGCTTCATGTGCTTTGCCAGCGTGGGCAGCGTCGTGGTCTCAGTTTTGTTTTTATCGCCTGGTGTTCTGAGTGTGCGTGATTTCAGAGCAGCTGTTTTTTTTCTTTGGTGGTGCATGTAGTTTAGGTCATTGTCGTGGTAAGTCCTGGTATGTGACAGCCTCGTGTTTGTTGCTACTTGGGAGCTCGGAGTCTAGCCGGCAAGTAGGAAGCTACAAGATGTGACAGGTGAGGAGAGAGTCTTGGCAAATCTGGGACAAGAACTGTGGTTCTGCCAAAATGTGTCTTTCGTATCGATATGCGGTGCGGACAGCCTTGCAAAGGGTTCGGGTTCAAGTTGGTTTTCCCAATGTAGTTTTTCCGACCAGTTTTCCACTGACCGGATCTGGCGTGGCCACACACACTCAGACCCCAACCTGCATGTATTTGACCAGATCCTGCATGTCTCCACAGACAGGCCGACCCCCCACACTCCGAGTGGAGCGGCTGCCCCACACAGACACTCAGACCGGAATCGCATGGAGAGACTCAGATCCCAACCTCTCAGATCCGGAGCTGCGTGGCCTTCCAGCGGGTTTTTCAAGACATCTGACAAGCTCATCCTGATGGGCGCGGAAATCAGCAAACCAGATAAAACGAAACGCAGCAACTCATAGGGCTTCGAAGCATCTATGCCCAGATGCGCGCTGCCATTTCTTGTTCGTGCAGTTTCGTCTCTGCGGTGAGGCCAGCTCGCTTTACATGGTCTTGGGTTGTAGATGTTTTGTGCAGATGTGATGGTCTGCAGTACCAGCCTTGGATCGTTACCCCGCGAAGCATTCCTGAAAATGCTACTGGCCATGATGTGCAATTAAATCACAGTTTGCTTCTGTCCCTGGTGCGAACAAGCCTGACTCTGCAGACCATTATGTCGCCTCAGATGGTTTCACATGCGACAGGAAATGATGTTTCCCTCGTTGATGAGTGCAACAAGTACTCGCGTCATTTACACAACCAGCTTACTATTATTATCCTGTATATAATTTGTATTGTACAATATCGTGCGTCTGCAACAGCTGTGTCATGCCAATGCCAACGTTTCATCCTTGCATCCTGACTGCCACTGACCAAGTTGCAGTTAGCTTTGCTGGATGTCAGCAGCCGAAACAAATGCAAGTGAAATGCAAGTGTAAACTCAAAACTCAAAACTCTGGCATGCCACGCAACTATAATCTTCTTGCATCCGGCTTGCCTCTAAACAAAGCTGCTGATTTAGCTCAGCTGCCAACACAAGCTTCGCAATGAAACCAAATTTCGCAATATCTGTGGAATACAAATACACTTGTTTGTTCCATTCTTGCATGCAGCCTGCGGGTGCACTATCCAACCAACCACATCATGCCAAACCTCTCTAAGGATGCAACCCTCCGTTTACGCAAGCTCTCTTTAGCTAGCAGCCCGGTTCCCCCCGAGGCCAAATTTAAGGGCTGCCGCCCAGTGCCGCCGACCCCTCCGCTGGGGGCCAGCCCAGGTTTTTTTTGTTCTGTCAGCGGCTTTTGGCTGGTTCAGGCTTGCTGGCTTGCTTGCTTGCTCGCTTGCTTGCTTGTTTGCTTGTTTTCAGCGCTTTTCCAGGCCGCACTCGTTTGCCCACAGCGAGCACCAACCAAAGGAGTGCTATATAGAAAGTAGACAGCTATCGGTCCCCAGGGCGCAACCAGCAAGAACAGCTTCGCGTCCAGCGCGCTTGGAGGCCGCACTCGCTTCGCTGCAGCGAGCACGAACCAAAGGAGTGTGCCGGCAGCCTGCTCCGCCGCGGCCGAGTGCCTAACGTCGCATTTGAGTCCAATATGCAGCAAAGCTATCAGTCCAGAGGGAGCGGCCAGCCACAAAAGCTTCGCTTCCCGCGCTTTTCCAGGCCGCACTCGTTTGTCCACAGCGAGCACCAACCAAAAGGAGGGCAGCAGAAAGGAAGAAAAGAGGCCGAACGGGCGGGCCGTGACAAAGCTTCAGCGCTGAAAACTGTGCCCTGCAGGTGCTGGAGCGCTTTTCCAGGCCGCACTCGTTTGCCCACAGCGAGCGCCAACCAAAGGAGTGCGTGAGAGGGGCCGGGCTCTATCCCCGGCCTGTCCATGCCCATGTGCGCCTGCGTAGGGTTTGCTGTGCGTCTTGCCAAGGGCGGCTGCTGCGCCGCGGCCGGGTGCCGAACGTCACTTTTGAATCCTATATATAGAAATAGTATTAGTGAGAAATAGTATTAGTAGAAAGTATAGAAAGTATAGAAAGTAGAAAGCTATCGGTCCCCAGGGCGCAAACCAGCAAGAACAGCTTCGCGTCCAGCGGCCTCTTTTCTTCCTATCTGCTGCCGGCGCGCTCCTTTGGTTGGTGCTCGCTGTGGGCAAACGAGTGCGGCCTGGAAAAGCGCTCAAGCACCTGCAGGGCACAGTTTTCAGCGCTGAAGCTCTGCCACGGCCCGCTCGTCCGGCCTTTTTGCTTCCTTTCTGCTGTTGGTTGGTTCTCGCTGTGGGCAAACGAGTGCGGGCCCGCCCGTTCGGCCTCTTTTCTTCCTTTCTGCTGCCGGCGCACTCCTTTGGTTTCTTTCCTTTTCCTTTCTGCTGCCGGCGCACTCCTTTGGTTGGTGAAACGAGTGCGGCCTGGAAAAGCGCGGGAAGCGACGCTTTTGTGGCTGGCCGCTCCCTCTGGACCGATAGCCTTGCTGCATATTGGACTCAAACGCGACGTTAGGCACCCGGCCGCGGCGGAGCAGGCTGCGAACGGGCTGGCCGTGACAGAGCTTCAGCGCGGAAAGCTGTGCCCAGCAGGTACTTGAGCACTCTCGGCCTCGGCTCAGGACCAGTTGGTGTAGTGGTATCACACCCGCTCAACATGCGAGAGGGGCCGGGTTCAATCCCCAGCCTGTCCATACCCATGTGCGCCTGCGTTGGTCTTTCTCGCTTTGGGTTTGCTGTGCGTCTTGCCAAGGGCGGCTGCTGCGCCGCGGCCGGGTGCCGAACGTCACTTTTGAATCCTATATAGAAGTAGTAGAAAGTATAGAAAGTATAGAAAGTAGAAAGCTACCCCAGGGCGCAAACCTGGTGCTCGCTGTGGACAAACGAGTGCGGCCTGGAAAAGCGCGGGAAGCGAAGCTTTTGTGGCCGCTCCCTCTGGACCGATAGCCTTGCTGCATATTGGACTCAAACGCGACGTTAGGCGCCCGGCCGCGGCGGAGCAGGCGAACGGGCTGGCCGTGACAGAGCTTCAGCGCTGAAAGCTGTGCGCAGCAGGTAGTTGAGCACTCTCGGCCTGCCCAGCTCAGGGGCAGTTGGTGTAGTGGCATCACACCCGCTCAGCATGCGACAGGGGCCGGGTTCAACCCCCGCCTGTCCATGCCCATGTGCGCCTGCGTCTGTCACTCCCTGGTCTTTCATCCCTTTGGGTTTGCTGTGCGTCTTGCCAAGACCGGCTGGTGCGCCGCGGCCGGGTGCCGAACGTCACTTTTGAATCCTATGTAGAAAGTAGAAAGCTATCGGTCCCCAGGGCGCGACCAGCAAGAACAGCTTCGCGTCCAGCGCGCTTGGAGGCCGCACTCGCTTCGCCGCAGCGAGCACGAATGAAAGGAGTGCGCCGGCAGCCTGCTCCGCCGCGGCCGGGTGCCTAACGTCGCGTTTGAGTCCAATATGCAGCAAGGCTATCGGTCCAGAGGGAGCGGCCAGCCACAAAAGCTTCGCTTCCCGCGCTTTTCCAGGCCGCACTCGTTTGTCTACAGCGAGCACCAACCAAAGGTACAGGGCTGAACGGGCGAGGGCGAAAGGGAAGGGAGAAGGCTGCCACAGTCACGCTCCAACGCTAAACGAACACTCCCCCAGCGCCTTCCCCTTGCAGGCAGGGGGGTCGGCGGATTTGTACTGAAGAGTATACAGTGGACTTACCAAGGGCTGTGTTGCCCCCGCAATGCGTTGGCCGCTGTGCAGTCTCGTGCTTGACTTGTGAGCACTCTGCAAGATGCCGAGGTGATTGTGGTGGGCTGCGTGGTGGGTCTTCGCGCCATCGAAAACTTTGGCATCGGGCACCAGATTCAGGTTCAGATGCCGAACCATACCAACCGCGTTGTGGAAGTCCGCTTCCCAGGTTTGCTGAGCGAGCATGCTTCTGAGATACAATCAAGGCGGCTGCCCAGGTGGCAAGGCCTAGTCTCATCGCGGGTAGTAGGAAAAGCGGAAGGATGGATGGGCTTGAGCTGCTTGCCAAGGTGAGCCCCAGCTACAACCTGTGGCCAGCAGATTGGGCGGCTGGGCAAAGATTCCCCAGGCTTGAGCAACCAGAGGACAATTTGACGCAGGAGTGATGTGATGTTTCGACGGGCAAGTGGGCGCTTGCCAAGAAAGATTTTGAAGGCATGATTCATGATGATTTCTGATCATCCAAGGCAAAGGCCTTGTATGTCTTTCCCACGTTCGGCGTGTCCTTCCTGTGCCTGTCTTAGGACTTCTGAGAACAGCGTTTGGCCAGTCAGGTTTAATGAGCTGCCCAAGTTCTAGCTGTTGCGAACCAGCTTAAGAGAACTAAGTTGACTATTTTGCTGCACTTCTTATGTGGATGTCTGCAGTGTGATGCCCCTAATGATCCTCGAAGGGATTGGCCTCCAAGTCGATTCGACTCCGATCCGAGGTGCCACTTCAACGCGCTGCCAACCCACCAAGAGCTTGCCCGACCCACCAGGTCGCGCATGCGAAGGGTGATTCTAGTGACGCTGACCCTCACATCCGTGGCTTTGTGGCAAACATGAGGCTCTGAAAGTGGTTCGGGAAGTGTCAAGGCTCACATCTGGTGCACCGCGCTGAGGGCTTGGGGTTTGCAGAAATGAAAACTCAGCCAGCCAAGTTGATCTACCTCTTCGTGAGCGTTTGTGGCTACCTCTTCGCTGGCTGCTATACCTGCGGAAACGTGCTGCTGAACTTTTCCTCAGATGATCCTTGGTTCCACACGGCCGAGTGGGCAGTAAGGAAGATGCCACGTCCTTCATTTCGATTCCTCTGAGGATAGCCTCATCACTGTGGCGAGAGCTGCCTTAAGCTTGGCGGGGAGCCTCATGCGAGTGGTCATGTAGGTGTGTGTGTGTGTGTTGTTTGTTTAGGGCACTCCTGTTTGGGTTGGTTTTAAAGGGATAACAAAAGGAACAACACCAATTATGGGGGTCCTCTAAAACAAGACACACCCCATGGGATGTGTTTATTGGCACTGGGGTCAGCAGTGTTGAAATCACAGGTCAACGAACAACAATTCAATCAAACAAACAAACAACAAGCAAACAAACAAACAAACACACGTACAAACAAACAAACAAACAAACAAACAAGCAAGCAAGCAAGCAAGCAAGCAAGCAAGCAAGCAAGCAAGCAAGCAAGCAAGCAAGCAAACAACCAACAACACACACAAACAAACAAACAAACAAACAAACAATCAATCAATCAATCAATCAATGAATCAATGAATCAATGAATCAATGAATCAATCAATCAATCAATCAATCAATCAACCAATCAATCAATCAATCAATCAATCAAACAAACAAACAAACAAACACACAAACAAACAAACAAACAAACAAACAAACACACAATAAAAACAACCAAACAAACAACCCAAGAAAAAAAATTAAGCAAAGACACAAACAAACAAACAAGCAAACAAACAAGCAACCAAATAAACAAACAAACAACCAACCAATCAAACAAAAAAGCAAACCAAGGAAAACACAAATAAGCAAGCACACGCAACGCGCCACCCACACACGCGCAAACACACCACAAATACACAAACAAACATAGACACAACACAACACAACACAACACAACACAACACACATCAACACAACATATAACACAGCACACAACACAACACACAGCCACACCACACACACAGAGAGAGAGAGAGAGAGTCAACCCACACACGCACACACACACAAACACAACGCGCAACACACAGCACACAAGACACAAGACACAACCACACAACATACAAATGACATGTGCTTGAAATACAACTCGCAGCCCCCAGGCGCCAGAGTCGGCCATGCATTTGCAGCCTCTAGGGGTTCAAGTTTCGCTGTGAACCAGTCAATCAGCCGAGCTTTCCAGCCATTGCCATGGCAGTTCGAGTGCCGGAGAGTCTGCAAACTGCAGCGGGTGCCACCATTGAGAGGGCCGCTGAAGCAGAAAGACAAGCCCTTCACCCAGACTCGGAGTTGGATTTGTGCTTCTTGTGCGATTGCACCGCCTCTATGGGCCAGTACATCCAGGCCGCCCAGCAAAACATCCAGAGCATCGTTACGAAGATTAGCCAACACGGCGCCAAGGTTCGTTTCGGGCTCATCAGCTACAGGGATCATCCGCCACAGGATGTGGCTGGGCCAACCTGCTCTGGAAATGTTTGAGCCTGTGTTTGAAAATACTAAGACTCTGTAACAAGTCTCTGATCGAAACAGGCTCCGTTTTGCTTCCGACTCAGACATGTCTTCAATTCCTGTTACAGGATCGACTAGGCGAAGTCAGACCTGCTGAGACTTTTGCCCAGATGTGCAGGACAGCACGTACGTGACGAAGGTCTTCCCGTTCACCGAAGACGTGCAGCAAATGCGGAGCAATGTGGCCACCATGTATGCTCAGGGCGGTGGCGACGGTCCAGAGGCCGTGACGGCAGCCCTGTATGATGCACTGCACATGCCCTGGCGCCCAAATGCCACAAAGTTCCTTGGACGCGACATATTACTTTTTGACACTTGGCCCACCCGAATCCAGCCAATACTAAGACTAGCAGGTTGTTTAATCCAAACATATCCAAACTAACAATTTAAATAAGCTAAACAACACCAAACTAATACTATCAATTAGTATCAGTAGTACCACTACCCCCACCTCCCACCCCCCAACAGCGCGGGAGGGGCGGGGGGGGGGGGCTGCAGACCTCATTCAACAAAAAATATACGCATGTATATAGTAAAGAGGCATGCCTGATGTGACACAAAAAACAAGGCATCTACACACACACACACATCCGAGCTCGTCAGGATTTGCGTGATCATCGCTGACGCTCCGCCGCATGGGTTGGAACCAGAGGGGGATGGCTTCCCCAATGGCGACCCCGAGGGCCGGGATCCCCTGGAGATCCTCCGTGGCGCCTCGGAACAGCTTTGCAGTGAGCCATAGCCGGAATGCCGTCGAATGCCGGAAGAGGGGCGTCTGTCTTTTTGGAGTTGGCATGTTGAGGACCAGATGAGATGTGGGCGCATCTTTTGTTCAGGGCTATTTTGGATGGTGTTGAAGGGACGCCAAAAAGAAAAACCACCGGTTTTAGTGGGTTCGATTCCTAAAAACCGACACCAGCCGGATGTCCTTGAACTCCGAAGCTCCAGAAAACGCTTTGAGCCAAGGCATGGCAGCCCGGGACATCACTGTGTACAGCGTAGGCTGCGAGCCTGCGCTGGGCCAGTACCGTTGCCTGGTGTTCAGAAGGGAAGAGGCGAGCATCCAGAGAGAAGTCTGATTTGAAGTAGAATCTATGTGTTCCGGGACTTGCTACTGCCAACATGTTTGCAACCCGATTTACAGTTCATAGGATGTCAGTTGGTTGCACATGTGCGAGCAATACACAGGGACAATTACATTGTTGAAATATGCAACGATGTTGCTACTGATGAAATATGCCAACAGCGCAGTCCCCGCCAATCCAATTCGTTGTGGAGTCATTCAGTTGGACATTGGTTTGTTTGAGGGAACTAGTTTAGCGCTTTGGTTGCAACATGATTTGCCTACTGTGTTTCTGGGCTTCTTGTCTTCCGACTGCTTTGCCTTCTTGAATGGCCCCTGCAGGCTCCAGGTTGCGGATGTGGAAATAGGACACATTCACTTTTCAGGTTGCAGGGCGTATGCTGAGCAAGCGTTCGATTCTATTGGAGTTCGCTTGCTCCTTTGTGGCCCGCCGAGGCTTTGCCAGGGACTTTCTCTGCACTGTTGCGGAGATCACAGGGGGCCAGGCAAGGCATCCGATGGTGCCCAGCACCGAAACCATGAGGGATCGCTTGAAGTATATTATGTTTTCTTTTGTTGTGTTTTTTGCAACCCCCAAAGTGGTCCCTTTTGGATTGCCATTGAAACCACAAACAAGAGGTACCTTCAAAAGACATATATTTTAACGCCTCCGGCTCAGGCCGCCGACATTACAGGCCTGCTTTCTTATTTGCGTCCCTTTGGAATTTTCCCCTTGCCCCCCTTCCCCTCTAAGATTTTTGCCCCCCTTTCCCTGTTGAGATCCATTCCCCCTTTCCCCCCTAAGGCCGTTTCTCCCTCTGATTTGTTTTCCCTTTTCCTCCCTAAGATGTTTTCCACCCTCTCCCTGTTGAGATCCTTTCCCCCCTTTCCCCCCCCTAAGGCCTTTTCCCCCCTGAGATCTTCTCCCTTTTCCTCCCTAAGATCTTTTCCCACCTATTGAGATCCTTTCCCCCCTGACCCCCCTAAGGCCTTTTGCCACCCTGAGTTCTTCTCCCCCTAAGGCCTTTTCCCCCCCTGAAATCTTTTCCCTTTCCTCCCTGAGATCTTTCCCCCCCTTTCCCTGTTGAGATCCTTTCCCCCCTTTCCCCCCTTTCCCCCCTAAGGCCTTTCCCCCCGCTGAGATCTTCTCCCTATTCCTCCCTAAGATCCTTTGCCCCTTTCCCTGTTGAGATCCTTTCCCCCCTTCCCCCTAAGGCCTTTCCAGATCTTCTCCCTTTTCCTGCCTAATGTTTTTTCCCCCCTTTCCCTGTTGAGATCCTTCCCACCCTTTCCCCCCTAAGGCCTTTCCCCCCCCTGAGAGCTTCTCCCTTTTCCGTCCTAAGATCTTTCCCCCCCTTTCCCTGTTGGCCTTTTTTTTCCCAGATCTTCTCCCTTTCCTCCCGAAGATTTTCCCCCCCTTTCTCTGCTGAGATCCTTTCCCCCCTTTCCCCCCTAAAGCCTTTCCCTAAGATCTTTTGCCACCTTTCCCTGTTGAGATCCTTTCCCCCTTTCCCCCCTAAGGCGTTTTTTTCCCCCCGCGGTCTTTCCCCTTTTCCTTCCTATGATCTTTTCCCCCCTTTCCTTGTTGAGATCCTTTCCCCCCCTTTCCCGCCCAAGGCCTTTTCCCCCCAACATCTTCTCCCTTTTCCTCCCTAAGATGTTTTCCCCCCTTTCCCTGTTGACATCCTTTCCCCCCTTTCCCCCCTAAGGCCTTTCCCCCCCCTGAGATCTTCTCCCTTTTCCCTCAAGATCTTTTCCCCCGGTTGAGATCCTTTCCCCCTTTCCCCCCGAGAGATCGTTTCCCCCCGTTCCCCTCTAAGGCCTTTTCAGATCTTCTCCCTTTTCCTCCCTAAGATGCTTTGCCCCCTTTCATTGTTGAGATTTTTCCCCCTTTCCCCACTAAGGCCTTTCCCCGAGATCTTAAGGCCTTTCCCCCCCCTGAGATCTTCTCGCTTTTCGATCCTTTCTGTTTTCCCCCCTTTCCCTGTTGAGATCCTTTCCCCCCCTTTCCCCCCGAAGGCCTTTTCCCCCCTGAGATCTTCTCCCTTTTCCTCCCTAAGATCTTTTTTCCAACCTTTCTTTATTGAGATCCTTTCCCCGCCTTTTCCCCCCAAGATCTTCACCCTTCTCCTCCCTATCATCTTTTCCCCCTTTCCCGTTTGAGATCCTTTCCCCCCACTGCCCCTAAGGCCTTTTCCCCCGAGAAAGATTTTCCTTTTCCTCCCGAAGATCTTTTCCCCCCTTTCCCCCCTTTTTTTCCCCAGATCTTCTCCCTTTCCTGCCTGAGATCTTTCCCCCCCTTTCCCTGTTGAGATCCTTTCCCCCCTTTCCCCCCTTTCCCCCCTTTCCCCCTAAGGCCTTTCCCCCGCACTGAGATCTTCTCCCTTTTCCTCCCTAAGATCATTTGCCCCCTTTCCCTGTTGAGATCCTTTCCCCCCTTCCCCCTAAGGCCTTTCCAGATCTTCTCCCTTTTCCTGCCTAAGATCTTTTCCCCCCTTTCCCTGTTGAGATCCTTCCCACCCTTTCCCCCCCTGAGAGCTTCTCCCTTTTCCTTCCTAAGGTCTTCTCCCCCCTGTCCCTGTTGGCCTTTTTTCTCCAGATCTTCTCCCTTCCTCCCTAAGATCTTTTCCACCCCTTTCCCTGTTGAGATAATTTCCCCCCTTCCCCCCCTAAGGCCTTTTTTCCCCAGATCTTCTGCCTTTCCTCCCTGAGATCTTTGCTGTTGAGATCCTTTCCCCCCTCTCCCCCCTTCATTTCCAGATGTTCCTTCACCAGCATGGGCAACATCCCCAGCATCACTTGCATCATCCGCATCCTTGGCAGGCGCTGATGCGGATGATGCAGGTGATGCTGGCGATGTGCCGCTGGAGCTGCTAAGGATGCGACAGCGGACCCGGGGGGAATCGATGCGCAAGCCCGCGCAATGAACAGATTTAGTGAAGCCCCCCGCAATAGTCTGAAATCGCCGTCTGTTGTCGGCGGAGATATATATATATATATACACAGGTGGATATTAATCTATATTTATATATCTTGTATATATATATATATATATATATATATCTATATATATACACCATCGCCAACGACAAGTCATGCTGGATGTCAGCTGTTTGTGAATCTTGCAGTTCGTAAAGAAGGCAAGCAGGAGAACAAGAAGCAATTGCCGGGGGAAGAAGCTGTTGTAAGAATCTAGCGCCGCCGCGTGCGAGCAACTACTATCAATTACATTCACAATGCTCGGGACATGCGGAAATAAGATACTTTGATTCTCAGATTGCCGCCAAAATTTCTGATTGACGAGGTTGACGGTTGATAGCTTTCCTTGATGTTCTTAGTGGTTGTTAGTCACTGAACAAGCTTGTCTCATCATATCGTTGTGTGCTTCTTGAGCTTGGGCTTGGCCGTTGCCGCAAGTGATGTACATTCCTATGGCCGATCTTTGTTTTTGAAGTTCCTAAGCAGGATTCAATGTGAACGGGGATGCTGCGAAACTTCTCCCAAGAACCACAACTAGTCAACACTGAAGCCCGTCGACGACCCGCTTCCCATTGGAGCTGGCAAGGCTTTGTGCTGGAGGTTGGGATAGAAGGCTGTTACCGCTTTGCCGTGCAGAATAAGTATCATTCTCAACAATTGCGCCTTGGTTTGAGGTCGCTGCTGCTCATTTGGTCCCTGCTTAGTGACGTCCAGTTGAATGCGATTAGATTACAGAGGCCAACGGAAAACACTCAAGTTGCAAGCTTGAGTATCTCGTCCCCCCCCCTGTTTCCCTCCTATTGCAACTCTGAGATGGTTGGCAGGCGGTGGCACTGAGTTCAGCGGCACTGCTGGCGGAGGTCATCGTTAACGGCAGTGCAGAGGAACTGGAGCTCAGCAAACTCCAGCGACAGGCCAACTGGTTGCAACAAATGAACAAGTTTTCTTTTTGGCTTGTTTTTTTATTTTTATTCTTTCTGTCTTTCAACAGTTTATGGGAATGATTCACATTGTTCTTGCAACATGTGCGTGGAACTGCAATCGCGGAAGGTGCGGGGAAGGGTTTGCCAGGCAAAAGCTTTGCGGAAGGTTAGTGCACACAGCGCAAGGCCCAAGCGAAACTGCAGCCGCGGAAGCACAAGTAACCAATGAAGCTCGCGGAAGCAGTAGCAGAACACTGCCGGAAGCAATTGTTCACAAGCTCGGAAAGGTCGGCGGATGGTTGCAACGCCCCAACGGACTGCCACATGCAAAGGGTGCCTGATGTCGAGCTTCGAGCCAGGGAAAATGCAAGCAGCGAAAGGGAAAGGACAGAGAAAGAGGCAGAGTGCTGCCTAGGTCAAGAGAGATAGATAGCATGGATACGAGCAACGGCCACTACTTTCTGTCTATGGTAGTGAAGGGCATGACGTGAGGCACACTCACCAAATGCCGTTGGGACATGTGGATTACTCGCTAAGATCTAGCGTCATTGGGGGACACACTGAGTATTGACTGTAGCTTATACAACAATATCATCGCCACTGCTAAGAGATTGATCATGTCTGAATGATGCGTATTCATTTGAATCTTCAGGGTTCTAGGCTAGGCGAATATATATATATATATATATAATATATATATATATATATTAATATATACACATATACACATCTACTCTGGGTCATTTCCTTGCACATTTACGAGAGCACCATATCCTCAGTCCTTGAGGATGGTGTTACAAGCAGCAGACGCTTGTTGCTTCAAGTTGTATTTTTTTTTTAAAACGTGACATGCTTGTTGATGTGACTATGTGCATATGGAGTGCTCGGCACAGCCACTTGAACCCGCTCACGGACATAGCACAAACGGGAGGGGAATGCAGTGCTTCGCTTCATGATGTAGCGGCACATTCCTTAAGTTCTAGAACTTTTGCAGACTGCTGTAAACCGATAGTTGATACGGAAAACAGATAATATAGAGGCCCAGGCAACCTTTGATTGAGAAAAGCTATTGTGAACTTCACCCAGCATCAACGCGACAACGAAACCAATACTCACGTGATTATGGATCACGCAAACCTTGCCAGCAAGCCTCTGTCCCACTAAATACCGCGTGGGCTGGGAGAAGACTGTTGTAATGCTATGAGAAGACTATGGGAAGACTTTGATCATGTTGCGGGAAGACACGAGCGAGACTACAGGAAGACGACGGCAAGACTCCAGGAAGACTGCAGGAGGTTCGACAGACTTGCAACCGCCAAAAGGCTACAACATGCTACAACACCAATCAGGAGGCAGACAAAAAGACCCGAAAACGATTAACAGTGACAGTGCTTTGGCACATGAACTTCTTTCCACCCCAAATGCATGACACGGCGGACCTCTTGAAGCAACGAGGTTGCTAGAATCTCAGGCAACGGCCACGGTCGCATTTCGTGGGCTGGGGGCGTCTGCAGGTGGAGGAGGCGGTGCTCAAGGTTCAGAACGATGCCAGGAGTGGTGGCCGCGACATCACTACTGAGGCGGCAGTCCGTGACGCTTGCTTCGGCTTGCAAGCGAGCCACGTCACCTCCGTGCACCTTGGCTCTTTTCCTTGCCTGTGATTCATATTTGATGGCTACAGCTGCTCGGAAAGGGGTGCCTTGTCATAGCGATTTCCCGACCGGACTGGAAGTTGCAAGAGGTCCTTGTGTACTTCCACTCAACAATGACAAGCATCATCATACACCATCATACAAGCAGCTTTCCTTGATGAATAGGTACCGATGTTGGCAGATGCAAATTAGTTGCAGCAAGGAAAAATAGAGCTGCTCGAACCAAAGTAGTCCTTCAGCCGTCGGAGAGTGCATGACAGAAGCACGGGCGGGACTTCGGATGCCTCAGATCATTACAATGCTGCCTCAGCCCTAAGCAATGTGTGACACTCTATGTGTGTGCAGAGCAGGTATTCTCATAGGCTGCCAAAAGGCAGGTGTTGTTCACCTCGAAGGAAGGTAGCACGAACAGTTGTACGGGCCTGTGCACACGCGCATACTGTTGCAAGATCAAACACCACTGGGGGTAAGGGAAGCTGCAGCACAGGCAAATGGAGACCAATGCCCGCATGGAGAACAGGACCAAGGGCTGCTGGGGCAGCAACTGTCAGCCAAAGAGCCTGTCGGCTGTGAAGGAAGAGCTCGCCAGGGAGTTGCCTCCCGGATCTGCAAGGCCGCCAGCAATGCCATCTATGGCGCCAATGGCACCTTTGGCATCTATGGCAATGCCATCTATGGCAATGGCATCTATGCCAATGCCGTCCATGGCGTGCGACGCCATGCCGCCAATGGCAGGCTATGGGTCACCTGCCCCCCTCTCGGCACCTTCCTCAGCATTCGCTGCTCCCACAAACTATCTGAAGAAGGACCTCATCAGTGAGGAGCAAGTTAGCCGGCTGGTGCAACGTGCACAGTGTCAAAACCGCCTGCTTTGAGGCCTCGTGGAGAACAGCTGAGGGTTGAGTGCGCTGTGACTGTCTTTCCCAGCTGGCTCCTTCGTTTAAAGTTACGGCAAGCACGGGGTTGGCCCGCTCTCCCTTCGAAAAGTGGCCGATTCTTGTTGCCATCATGCAGTTTGGTGAGCGTTGCGCAAGATGGGAGTGGTTACCGGGCAAGCAAGACTTTGCAATATTTTTTGGCTTAAATTGCATTGACTCGCCCAAAAAGGCGGCGAAGTGCAGGCAATCTTCCCCCTTTGCGAGCTGTACAGGGTGCTTTGAGCCAGTCGCATGCCGTGAGATGAAAAGACTGACCTGCCCTGCCCAGCTCTAAGCCAAGCAACATACTGATGCTTGTGTTGGGCGTGGCATTTCGGTGGGCGCCTGTTGATTAGGGGACCGTCACCCAATGGCACATGTTTGGAAAGAAGCTGCAGACACAACTAGAGAGAAAGCCTGGAAAGCATGGTCTGCACCCAGTCTTCTAATAACTCAAGTCACCCTTGTTTGCATCGCAGATCTCTAAATGAGTGGCGTTTTAGCTTAGCGCTACTTCGACTCGTGAAATTCACAACATACAACAAGCTCGGACACCAGATCATGTAAGTCATAAAGGCTCTTAGAACCCATCAGCATCGCAGACCCAGATCATTGTTCTCAGCGAACAATGATATTGCCGAGGTCCTGATGCTGAACTTCCCGCTGATTTGCCAGCCCTGCCGCAACGCCCTTTTCCGGCTATTAAACGGTGCTGGCTGCTTGAAAGCAGCAGAGCCGCCGCATCAAGAGAGTCAGCAGAAGCTTAGCAGCAACTGCGTTTCTCAAAGACCCAAGAGTGGCATTTGTCCCTCGGAGGCAGCGTGGGTGTCAAGAGATTTATTCTTTGAAGACAGATGTCCACTGTGATCTTTGGTACGTTGAGGTGCGACAGTAGTTTCCTGTAATTTCTTGCTGCCTATTGTCAGAATTCGGGTTTCCTTGGACTTTCCTTTCCGATCTGCCCGCACGTGCACTAGCTCCCAACGTTGGAGACATCGGTTCGGGCCCGTCCACTGAAACCAATGTGACAAATCGTTGGGGAATCGTTGCGCCATTTTGCCAGGGACAGCAGTGGCTCCTTCAGCATGGAGATTGTGGCCACCTCCGACCCGCAGCTCGCGCTCTCTCCGGAGTCCCGGGAGCCGTCCCGGGAGCCGCCGCGGGAGCCGCGGGAGCCGCGGGAGCCGGCCGTGGGCCTGACGAGGCGAGGCTGTCCGGAAGATCTGTGCAGACCAGCGCCAGTCGGATCGATGCAAAGCTGACACACCAAGTGCAAAGCTGACACGCCAGTGATCGCGCATGCAGGTCCAGGACGCCCCCGGCGTCTCCACCACAAGCACAAGCACAGGTTCATGTGTACTTGCGCCAGGAGCGAAAGAGGGTCAGTGCCGGAAGCTCTGTTTGTGTGTTGAAGGGACGAGGGCCTTGCCTTTCATTTTCCAGCTGCTGGACATATTGAGCACATTGAGGAACGGGAAATTGCAAAGCAACAATCAACCAACAACCAGCAACCGCTGCGGCGGCAGCAGCTGCAGCTGCAAGAGCAGCGCAACAAAGCCACAACAACAACGACAATGACAACAATAGAACAAAGACAAGGACAAGAACAAGAACAGAAGCACCAACAGCAAGCAACGACTGCATGCACAGCCACAAGCAACAAGAAGTAACGAAAGCATCTACCGACAACAATCAAGACACAACCACCACCAAGCAGACAAAGATGAAGAACAAGAAGAAGAAGTGCTAGAAGAGGGTTGAAAGTGCTTGTGATTGTTCTCCAGGACACACGGGGAGGACGAGGTCAGCCCAGTGGCCCGGACACAAACGCTGTGCATCTTGGCTGCGCATTTGATCAACAACTTCATAGTTCTCTTATCAGACAAAGCCATGTCGGCACGTGTTTTGGCCACTTGCAACTATTGGAGCTTTAATACCCCGCTGCCTGGGTCACTCCCAGATTGTTGATGGTGAGCCACACAAAAACGTAACAGAATGGTATGGCCACGCTTCCCTTATGCTTGGATGCACAAGTGTCTGGAAGTGAACTGCGACTGGACCAGAAAGCATATTTGCTTTCCCTGACCCAAAGCCATTGAGCAGCTGGCAGCTGCAAAGCTTTGGGCCGGTGCTTGGCGAGGCAAGTCTTTGACACGTTCTTGCCCAAGGAGGAGGCCATGCAGCAGGGTGCCCTCGAGCCCACTAAGCTCCAGAGGATCGTGCCTGGGATTGGAAAGCGGCGGATTTGCCGGACAGGTACCCTGAACAAGAATAAACCCACCCAAGCAACTGAATACCTTGCTGGCCTTTTTTCAGCTGCGAGACCGTGCAATCTTGGTGAAGACTTGTTTAGCAAGACATGCCTTGTTCAGGGGTTAGTGATGACAACTGGTATAGGGTCAGCGAGACTTGGATGAATTTCATGAAATTGAATCAGTGAAGAAGGAGGGCTCCCGCTGCAGCTCCGCATACTGGTTCGGCACTTCCAACAGGAGGGCCATTTTTTTTAGGATTTGTTTTCTTCGTTTTTTTTGTTTAAAGGATGTTTTTAGTTTTTCAGGGTCGGTGGCTTTTCGGCTTTTTGGCTTTTGTGGCTTTTACGTGGGTTTTTGTGGCTTTTGTGGCTTTTCATTTCGCATCATCTGCGTTCACAGTTCCTCTCTTTTCGCATCCTCTGCATTGCCAGTTCCGCTGCGGCAGGTGGCTTTTTGGCTTTTTGGCTTTTGGCGGCTTTCTGCCCGTATTTGAATCCTCACTTTTACCATGAGGCCTTGCCGCAGAGGCACTGATGCCCCCCCCCCCCCCCCGCTGCTTTTATATATATATATATATTATTATTTTTGCCCATTGAATCATCACTTTTTCAATCATCATCCCTCCCGACTTTTTGCCCCCGATTGAATCATCACTTTTTCGATCATCATGGCGGGGGCTGCCGCCCCCCGCGCCTTGAATTGAATCATCGCTTTTTCAATCATCATGGGGGAATTTGCCCCCCCCCCCCCGCTACGTTTTAGGTGTTTTACAGGGATTAGTTTGCCCGTGTTTGAATCCTCACTTGTACCATGAGGCCTTGCCGCAGAGGAACTGATGACCCCCCCGCTGCTTTTTTTTTAAAAAAAAATATTGTTTGGCCCTTTTTGAATCATCACTTTTTCGATCATCATGCGACCGCTCCTTTTTAGATTCTTTGCCCCTAACTTTTCGATCATCATGGGGGGGCTGCCGCCCCCCCAACCCCCCCGCTATTTTTTAGACTTTTTGCCCCTGATTGAATCATCACTTTTTCGATCTACAGGGATTAGTTTGACCGTATTTGAATCCTCACTTGTACCATGAGGCCTTGCCGCAGAGGAACTGATGACCCCCCCGCTGCTTTTTTTTATTATATTTTTTTGGCCCTAATTGAATCATCACTTTTTCAATCATCATGGGGGGGGCTGCCCCCTGCTATTTTTTGGACTTTTTGCCCCTAGTTGAATCATCACTTTTTCGATCATCATGCGACCGCTACTTTTTAGATTCTTTGCCCCTAATTGTTCGATCATCATGGGGGGAGCTGCCCCCCCCCAACCCCCCCCGCTATTTTTTAGACTTTTTGCCCCTGATTGAATCATCACTTTTTCGATCATCATGGGGGGGCTGCCGCCCCCCCAACCCCCCCGCGCCTTTAATTGAATCATCGCTTTTTCAATCATCATGGGGGGAATTGCCCCCCCCCCCCCGCTACGTTTTAGGTGTTTTACAGGGATTAGTTTGCCCGTGTTTGAATCCTCACTTGTACCATGAGGCCTTGCCGCAGAGGAACTGACGACCTCCCGCTGATTTTTTGTATCTTTTTGGCCCTTTTTGAATCATCACTTCTTCAATCATCATGGGGGGGGCTGCCGCCAACCCCCCCGCTATTTTTTGGACTTTTTGCCTCTAATTGAATCATCACTTTTTCGATCATCATGCGACCGCTCCTTTTTAGATTCTTTGCCCCTAACTTTTCGATCATCACGGGGGGGGGCTGCCGCCCCCCCAACCCCCCCCCGCTATTTTTTAGACTTTTTGCCCCTGATTGAATCATCACTTGTTCGATCTACAGGGATTAGATTGACCGTAATTTGAATCCTCACTTGTACCATGAGGCCTTGCCGCAGAGGAACTGATGACCCCCCCGCTGCTTTTTTATATATATTTTTGGCCCTAACTATTAGGTGTTTTACAGGGATTAGTTTGCCCGTATTTGAATCCTCACTTGTACCATGAGGCCTTGCCGCAGAGGAACTGATGACCCCCCCACATCTTTGCTGCCGTCGTCACTTTTTCAATCATCATTGGGGGCGGCTGCCGCCACGTTTTAGGTGTTTTACAGGGATTAGTTTGCCCGTATTTGAATCCTCACTTTTACCATGAGATGCGGGAAGTCAATTTGCTGGTGATGCTGGGGATGTTGGCTGGACATGCGGGGGATGTTGAAAACGATGCTGATGATGTTGACGGACTAGCGTAAAATACGTACATTTCGCGAGAACATGCAGATTGAGCTGTTGGGACGGGTCTTCTTTCTGAAGTATGCTCCAGGGCAACGTGGGCATTGTTGTTTTCTTGCACACAACTTCCTCGTCTTTCACGGGCAGGTTGCACATGTGAGAGGAGACCCGAGTTGTTTGCGGGTGAGGGGTTGAATCAGTATAGCAAAGAACTTTGAACGCAATCCGGACAGATGCCAATACAACATCACCTGAGCCACGCCACTGTTTCCCTGAGATGGATGGATTTGTCTTATTGATGGTGAGACGTAGTAGAAACTAGTACTGGCCTAAGGCAAGTAATGCAAGTGTTGGCTTCCAGAGAGCCCAACCGAAATCCTACTAGGCGTTGAACTCAATGCAAGCGTTTGGGGAAGGGAACTTGCTGACTTGGGATGTCGCCCAAGCCCGATGTCCTTCAGAGCCTCAGGTGATGACCACACTGCTGCTGGGGACCTCGCTGCTGGTTAGCTGCGTGATGAGGACGTGCATTGAACACCTAGCAGTGCACCTTATTGAGCTGTTTCCCATGCAGCTTCTGTTTCGCCTTGCATGAAGTTACAAGCGCGTCGGACCAACTTTCCTAATCTGTTGAGTGAACAAACAAGGCTATTATTATGTTGGCTGTAGAGGCCTCGCATTGCTCACAAGTCAATTGCCTTCAAGGCAGGACGTCCTTTGTTGTGGAACGTCTTGCATCTGTGTGTGCGCGTGGTTCATTCCTACAGATGAGAGGAGCATCATGGTGGTATGGGCCGTCATCGGCAGCACAGCCAGTGGCTTAGGCCTGATGGAAAAGCGATGCTTGGGTCGGATGACGTTGATTCATGCCATTGATTCATGGTTTAGTTTTCGCCTCACAAGAAAGTCGGCAACAGAACATTGCGATGTACAGGTCTGCAGTATTATTTGACCCCAGAGTTGGTTTCTCTGACGCTATGATTCAGCAACAACTGCAGGGACGAGTTTGCAAAGACTCGGCTATGGGCAAAGAGACTCTTTGAAGGCACCGGAACCCCGCGTAGCAGCCCAGTGGCTCGCGGCGAAAACCTGAGGTGAGCTTCCTCATCGCCTTTATTCTGCCAGCCATGTTCTGGTACAAGGCCAGACTTTGCAACTTTCCCAATGGAAGGTCTGGCGGTGAAAGACACAATTTGTTGGTCTCAGATTTCAAGAGATGGAGACTGAATTCAATAAGCCGTCCATGCCCGCGTTGCAGCTTGGCTTGAATGCAAAGAAGTCTTCGTGCTGATTCTCATTATCCATGACGTTTGTGGAACTACACATCCCTGGCATGTCTCTTGATAGTCTACCATGCCACCTTGGCATGAGCAGCCAGTTGAGATCTTCTCTGCAGTACTCCCGGATGATTGCCCCGCACACAGTTGTGTGCTGTCCCACCATAAGGCATGAATGTCTTGACTCCACAATTCGCGCTCTCCTTTCTGTATTTGCGTCTCACGGGATTTCCAAGACTTGTTTCTTCTCATAGTACAGTCCCAGA